AAAAAAAAAAAAAAAAAAAGAAGACAGTAAGAAATAACCAAATAAATATACATGTAGTGGTAAGTACTGAAGAGAAAAATAAAGAGAGTAAAGAGAGATGGGTAGGGTGTGTCAAAGGATTCCATTTTATTATTTTTTTAAAGAGTTTATTTATTTATTTTGAGAGAGAGACAGAGCAAGAGAGAGCAGGGGAGGGAGAGGGAGAGACAAAATCCCAAGCAGGCTCCACGCTATCAGTGAGGAGCCCGATGTGGGGCTTGAACTCACGCCCCGTGAGATCACAACCTGAGCTGAGATCAAGAGTTAGACACTTAACCGACTGAGCCACCTAGGTGCCCCAGGATTCTATTTTAAGTAAGAGATCAAGGAACAGCCTCCCTTAGGGGAAGAATTTGAGCAATGACCTGAACAATGTAAGGAAATGAGCGATGTGGATATTTGCAGGGAGAGCATTCCAAGAAAAGGAAAGAACAAGTTCAAAGGTGGAGTGGGTGGCATGCACTCAGGAAAGCAAAGAGCCCAGGGTGCCCATAGCAGAACAGAGGGCGATGGGGGAACTGAGCAGATGAAGTGAAACAGGGGGCAGGGCGTCAAATCTTGTGACGGTTTAGACTTGCCTGGAGGGGCACCTGGGTGGCTCAGTGGGTTGAGCATCCAACTTCGGTTCAGGTCATGATCTCATGGTTCACGAGTTAGAGCCCCACGTCAAAACTTTGCACTCATGGTACAGAGCCTGCTTCAGATTCTGTGTCTCTCTCTCTTCCTGCCCCTCCCCCACCCATGATCTCTTTCTCCCTCCCTCAAAAATAAATAAACATTAAAAAAATTTTTTTAAACAAAAACAAAAATGAAGACTTGGCTGAGGGTTTTGCCTGGAGTACCGTGATGTGATATTTTGAATAGACTCTAGAGGGCCGGGCATTAGGGAGCCCCATGGCTTAGACCACAGTGGTAGCAACATGGTTGTGAGAACGTCTGGAGTCTATCCATGTTGAACACAGAGCCAACACCACTTGCTGACTAATTGGATTTGGGGAGTTCCTATAAAGTATTCCTCACTCGTCCTCTTTCTTCTCTTAGGCATGGGAAGGTCTGTAAGCAAAGCATAGCCTATTTCTTTATTTTTCTACATTAAGCATAGGGGATGGTGAGGAATCAGGTATTTCTGGCTGTATCTGGAACTCTACCAAAACAAGAAAGGACTGATCAACATTAGCGGTCACACACAGTAACTAGACAGGACAAGAGTCGGATGGTGTCTTAGTCCTTCTGAGCTGCTGTAACAAATTCCTACAGATGGAGTGGCTTGTGAACAACAGAAACTTGTTTCTCACAGCTCTGGAGGCTGGGAAGCCCAATGGAGAGGCACTGGCAGATTCAGTGTCTGGCAAGACCCCACTTCCTGGTTCACGGATGGCTGTGTCCTCACATGGAAGAAGGAAGGAGGCAACTCCTTGTGGTCACTTTTATAAGAGCACTAATTCAAATCATGAGGGCTCTACCCTCATGAGCTAACCACCTCCCAAAGGCCCCATCTCCAAACATCATCACATTGGGGGCTAGGCTTCAACACATGAATTTTGGGGCAACATAAACATTCTACCATACGCTGGCAGATGCTGAATTGTAAAGTTACAGACAGGCTGAGGTTCTCAAGAGAAGGCTGAGGCATAGCCACAACTTCTGGCCAGCTAGGAGATGAGGCCTTTAGATAATCTTGTTAATTATAATGAAGAATGATAAAGAGAACAGTCAACCATGGTAGGGCATCTGGTCACCAGGGTTTGATGATCTGAAAGGTGGAGAGAAGGTATCAGTGCCAGTTAAGGAAGGGAAAAAATGGAAAAGACTCTGCTTTTGCCCTATAGCTAAACCAAACCCCGCCTTGGGCATTCTGAGTTTCCTTTAAGGCAAGGCCTCTCAAGTGAAAATGAAGCAATCCATTTCTGTATCATTGTTCGCCATCTTGTTTTTAGGTAGACAATGGATACATGTGGAATAACTGGGACCTAATACATCTGGTCCAAAATGTCTGCACACCAGTAGCTTCTGGCGTTCCAGAAATTGTGAGATTGGCTCAAGATTATTTGCCAGCATTCAAAGGTATGCTATCAATGGCTTCAGGGATCACTACTCCTAACTAATAGATTTGCAACTCAACAACTCTTGCCTAAGGACACAAACCATTATCCGAAATAGTGGAAATATCTGGCATATGGAACATAAATGGTGGGGGAAATTCCAGGTTCATAAAGAGGTTTCCTTCTGTTCTCCCTTATAGAGAATGTAGGCTGGGAATGAAGTTGACCTTGGAATACGGAACTCTGTGATGAGACGGTGAGGAAATGGAACACATGGAAAATGCTACTGTTGACTCCTTTCCCTACTTATCCCAAAGTCTTGCTCTGTGCTTTTTCTTTCCTTATGTATGTACAGATGTGCCTATAAAGCATATGCTTTATTTCTCTAAATTGAGAAGGAATACAGCTTGCCCTATGGCTTTTCATTATTGGATAAACCAAGGTGTCAACATAGGCCCTTAATAAGATCTTATAAAGTCATCACCTGTGGAGAATCTGCATTAAAAAGGGAAGATTATCCACTCTCCTTCACCTATAACCAAATTTCTGTGCTAATGAATCTACTGGTTGCACGTAAAATTTTAAATGGCCAGTAGACTCACTCCTGATAAAAGCTCACCGAAAAAGGAAACGAATCTCAAGATAGAAAACTAACACAATTAAAATGCTCTATCATAACAATGAACATAATTCCTCTGTAGACAAGAATAGTATTTTCCTAACATGGAAATAACCAGCCCCTTGGGGAAAAAGAAGTTAACCATGCATTTTTTTTACATATTTCCATGAAAAGAGAAAATACAGAGGCTGCCCACTAACAAGGGCCATGAAGAACATTGCCCTGTGGAGGGAAAGACAGGCCTAATTTATAAATCCAAGTATGCCTTGTATTTTCCTTCACTTGCTACTTCTGAAGTATGTATTTTAATACACAATTACTATTCTTAGTGAGGAGACCTCACTACCACTATTTAAACTGCAGAGCTGGGGGTTCTCGGGTGGCTCAGTTGGTTGAGCATCCAACTCTTGGTTTCGGCTCAGGTCGTGATCTCATAGTTTGTGAATTCGAGTCCGGCATCGGGCTCTGCACTGACAGTGTGGAGCCTGCTTAGGATTCTCTCCCTCTTTCTCTGCCCTTCCCCTGCTCACTCTCTCTCTCAAAATAAATAAATAAACTTAAAAAAAGTTAAGAACGAACAAAAGATAAACTGCAAGTCTGAATTAAATTTAGTCATCAAGCTTAAAAAAATAAACTAATGAGTAGAACTTCCTCTTCCTTCACCAACCCATTTTCCAGGTTCCTCTCCTCCCTCCACATCACTGAATGAGGATCTAATCTGCATCAGGGCACTAGATGTGCTAAAAGCACAGAGACCTTGTCTTTACCCTTAAAGGGGCTTCAACATTGGGAGTTGAGTTTACTATGCAAATCGAGCATTTACAAAAGAACTTGGTAAATTCTACAGTAGAGATTGGAAAGCATCAACAAATAGTAGGAAACCAGAAGAGTGACTTTACATTAGTCAATTACTTTAAACAATTAACAAGTAGATAGTAACTTAAAGATGTTTTGTCCTTGGGAAAAGCCTTATTTGCACCTTTGTTAAATAATCTCGACAAGTTTTCAGATTCAATGAACTCAAGTTTACCTACTTCTGAACAGATTTCTAGAAAGTTACAACAATCAAGTTTTACCTTATGGTAACACCTAAAATATGCAGCACGTTCATCAGAAAATTTCTCCAGTCTCTTTGGACCTTTGCTTGAAGCTTTCTTGAATACTAGCCAGCATCGCTGATATATCTGGAAGGAAATACAAAGACAGAGTTCAGCATCAGTGACTCAGATATCACTTACATTTGCATTTAAATGTTTTCTCTTTGATGTTTTCACCTGTAAAGTATTCATAAGCCGTAAGTGTGATGCTACTTTGGGAAAATAAAAATTTTAAACCCGAAATTGTTTCCACAACAGGTGTATTATGTCATTCATTTACTGGAATCAAATGAAAATGAGTATTTGAAAGCAAATTTCTTAACATTTCAATAACAGTATCAGTAGAAACATTTCAGGAAAAGTCCCAGAGATAAAAATCTCAAATCAGCGCAAATAGCATAGGTATTCATGGCATGTGCTCTCATTTCAAATGCAATTAAATATGGAACTCATAGGCCCAATATATGCTGAAGGTTTCACTGACAGTCCAACAGAAAGCCCTTATATGTCATATGACAATCCTCACAACTGATGGTCAGGAGTGGGCCAGACACTGGACTAACTAATAAATGACTGATTAACACCAACCAGATTCTCCCTCAGAAAATCCAACCCAGAGGCTTAAAGATTACTCAGACTGAAGAGCAGTCTGAGTTAAGAGGTCAATACTCATAGGTTATAAACTGAGGTTGGTGACCATGTTGGATCATGTGCCTGACAGGTAGGCAGTGGAACCTGGTCCAGAGAACTAGGTGATTGCTACTCCAGGCAGAAGAGACATTTTAGTTCTCTGTCATCTTTCTGCTGCTGACTTTGTGATCTAGCCCTTCCCTTGATTTTCTTAGAAACCATCTTCCCCACCGTCAACAGCACTCTTAATTGACAGAGGCTGAATGGAGTTCTGATTCTAGCAACCAAAGCTTCCCTGATTAAAATAACCAGTATATACTAAACGAGACACCAAAATTTCAGTCATGCCACAGAGAGGAAAGTGCAAAGAGCTAATGAGTATACGAACAACAATGTTCTCCAAAAGCAAAATAAAATGAGATGTTTTAACCTAAAAATTAATAAGGATTCATATTCATCGTAATATTCACTGATGGAAGAGATCTGAGTGGCACTCTTCTACTCTGCTGGTGACCTCTAAAGGCAATTTGACAACAGATATAAAGAACCTGAAGAGACTAAGAATCTATCCTAACGAAAGAGCCCAAATGCAGGCCAACACTGAAGGAGGAATTCTGCATTCAAGGGCAGACAGGTGGGTAACTACTCAATCACAGTTATCTCCCTGATCCTTAAATCATCTTCTAAGTATGTACCATATTTAGGTGGTTTTGTATAGTCAACCCATAAATGAATTTTATGCACTACGAAGTTTAAGAACCTTGGAGCTAGTAAGAAGAAAAAAAGTCCACATAAAACATTTGGTCATTCAAACCATACTCCATTGAAAATGCATCCTACTATTTTATTAGTAACTGGCAGATGGATGAAGAATTCAGGTTTGCTACTATTTATCCTCAATGCTGAATAGATTCCATTTCTCTCTGCTCACTGGGTGAACTAAACATTCATTAATCGTTTTGTTTGGGATAGTAAAAAGAAAATGAAATCCACTCCACTTTGAAGTTTTGCTCTGAACACAGAGGGTAAGATGTGTGCCTCAGCCTGCTGAATGTAGAATATAATCCTAGCATTATTATTTATAATAACAATAAATAGAATAATATATATAATACACTATGTGCCACCAATAATGTGTATGTTATCTATCTATAAGGATAACATAGGTATTTCATTTGAAACAAATTTCAGAAGGAATTTCCAATGACATGAGAAAGTGCATAAAAGTGGGGTTTTCTGGCTTGTTTTTGTTGTGTTTAATAAAAATTAATATTGCAAATTAAATGAAAGAGAACTGTTATTTCCTAAATATCCAGAGGTATCAGTAAAATAGTGCAATTAAAATCAGTTATTGGCTTTCATCTTGCACAGTCACTGAACTTAAGAGATGTAAAAACATGGAGACAGAAGTGGAAAAGCAATTTAGTGGAGAAAGGTACACTTTTAAACAAATGGCACTGGAATAATTGAACATCCATAGGAATAAAAAAAAAAAGTACACACACACACACACACACACACACACACACACACACAAACACCTTAACCTAAAACAATCACCTTAAACAAAAATAAACTCAAATGGACTTAAATATAAAACAAAACTATAAAACTTTAGGGGAAAAAAGTGTTTGGGATCATCATCTGGACAAAGAATTCTTA